AAGCTGTTTCTTTGATCCTTAGTTCTACAAAATAAAATCAGAAAAAAATGCAGCATGGAAAGATCATTCCAAAAGCCTCAGAAAAGGAATTTGATAATGCCTGAGGATACCAGCACCAGGATGGCACTGGGCGCTGTTACACAGGTCGTCTTTATAGCAAGTCATAAAGAAAAGTCATAAATCAGGCCAAAACATAATGCACTGCTTAGGTAGCCCATGGTGACTATGTTAGCACCTGCAAGACATAAGGGGAAAACTCACAGAAAAAACTTTACAAAACATGATGCGACTAAGATCCAGCAGAAATTCCGCATTTGTGTTTACTTTTAGCTAGAGCTTGTGATATGAGATATGAGCCGAATGCACAAGCTGTGGTGTCTGTGCAGGATTTAGGATCTGCAGCTAAGCATGTGTAGCATTTTAATCCACATGCTATAGAAATAAAGAAAACACAATTTGATGGGAAAACTGTCAGACTACTTTAAAAAATATGTTGTATCTAACAGGCAGCAGACACTCAGCATTTGTTCTTAGTTTTAAACAGAGCTTCCAAAACGAGTGAACTACTCACTGCCAATTCTGACAGAGTAACAACGGTTGGAGATGACAGGACAAGATGTGGTGTTTGTGCAGGGTTTAGGGTCCGCAACTGCACCTATAGCACATTAATCCACATGCTGTAGAATGAAGCAGAACGCAATGTCAGACAATTTCATACATTCATAATAACTGGAAATGTTTCTTTCGTTTTCATTTTGATTTGCTTTTTTTTATTTGTTATCCTTTTTTTCACTTTAAAATATGGGATCAATGTAACACATGTAAAACTATAAACAGTTTAAGCTAGTATTATAACTCATTATTGACCTTCTAACTTTGTGTTTACTTAACCTTTTAGTTTCCTTCAAGCTTTTAAGATCATCTTTAAACCACACTACATTTCTTGCGTGTCAAGGCACGCATGACCATCATGAAATATTTTTCTTATCGACAGACAGAGTCACACACAGGATCAGAGCTCCATAAAGCTGCATCGTGAACTCAGATTGATGATCAGTCTTGTGAAAGAAAAATCTGGTACTCCCTTTCTTTCTTAGCTCAGTTTCCTGTTTAGTTGTCAGTACCTGAGCATTTGCATCTATTCAAAAAGCTTCCTACCAAGTAACCTAACCATGCCCCTGTACGGGAAATCACTGCACACACCCACTGTTTTTCATAATGAAGACATGAAGTAAGATAATGCTATAGAAGGTTACTGAATAAAATATCATGGGAAACTTGGAAATTGCAAAGAAAAGGAAATGTGACCTCACAAGTTTTTTTCATATAGTAAAATATAAATTTCATCGCTTTTTTCCACAAGCTGTGTTTAATTTACATACATTTATACAAATACAGTTGAATTTTGATCAGATCAGATTTTTGTTCATTATGCTTTGGAATGAAAAGTTGTTTTTCAGTCTGTTGGGATTTTTTTTTATCAGCTAGGCTAAAGTATCGTTTTTTGTCATGGGTGGGGGTGTTTCCAGGGCAAACTCTGGCAGCTAAGTTCTGAACTGCTGTCACTTTTCCAGGGTTTTATTAGGCAGAATAAACAGTACATCACTGCAGGTCGTGATGAAGGCCTGAATGAGGGTTTCAGCTGCAGAGTCTGTGAATAATGGCTTGAATTTGAAGTTCTTTAGGTTGTAGAAGGCAGATTTAGAGATGGATTTGATATGTGATGAGACTGACAGGGTGGAGTCCAGGTTGAAATTAGGAGTGCCCTACATCAGTGAGGCCAGCATAGTTAGCTTGGTGGTCAAAGAAGATAAAATGGGAGAATGTTTCAAAAGCTGCTGAAAGTGCCAGAAAAATGAGGACGCTGATGTGGTCTGATTTTTAATCTTGATGAGAGAAGTTTTGGTGCCGTTCAAAAGGTTCATGAAGAGGCACGCTTTGCTGGAGTTGGGCAATGACTGCTTTTTTCCAGGATTTTAGTGATGAATGTAAGGTTTCAAATTGGGCAGAGGTTACTGTGGTCTTCAGGGTCCACACCAGGTGTTTTGAGAATGGGGAGACAGCAGCTATTTTATTTAAAAGAAACTCTCTTTATATGGATCTACTGCTGATGTCAACTATGATGGGCAACAGGGTGGTTAGGCAAGACTTGACTATGGTTTTTGGAAGACTTGACTTGACTTGACTCTCTCTCCCCAGCCACCTCCTCCAGCTTGTCCGGGAGAACACCAAGGCGTTCCCAGGCCAGCTGAGAGATATAATCTCTCCAGCGTGTCCTGGGTCTGCCCCGAGGTGTCCTCCCAGTGGGACATGACTTTTCCAGGAGGCATCCTTATCAGATGCCCAAACCACCTCAACTGGTTCCTTTCGATGTGGAGGAGCAGCGGCTCT